AAAGACCTAACTCATGAAAGAACGCTGTATCTTGCGGTTCAAGCTCCAGCGACTAATGTTCGGGAGTCTTTGCCCCAAAATCTGGACTGCTGCTGAGAAAACATCCACAAAAGAGGTGAAATTGGCTGATCGAGAGTCCCGGGGCAACGCTTGTGAGAGGGTGTTTACCAACCTTCAGCATCCAATATGCACAAATATTTTCGTATAATGCTGCTACTCAGTGACTCAGGGTTAGCCAACATTAGTCTGCTGGTTGAACTACATCGCGTTCATATCGTCATATCCAAAGACGTTACGTCAGTGGCAGTCGTTGATATTACTCTGGCGTCATGGAAACAAAGTAAATTTACGCTACCAATGAATGCAGTTTGGAATGATAATAGAAAGAATTCAACAGAAAATTGTCGAAACTAAGAAATAGTCTATAAAGGCTTGTAATAGCTCTTGATTTATAATTATCATATTGTTGACGTAGTTACGGTCCATATTCAAAAGCGTTTTCCCTTATATAGTAAGTGCCAATAAAAAAATGCGTTGAATGCAGGGAGAATTGCTGATTAAACTGTTCCGCTTGCATGACTATTTTTAAATTCCTCTAAGATTAGCGAAGTCTGCATAATTAATTTTATGGCAAAGTAATTTAAGTTTATCACAAAAACTTATCCCTTAGCTGCATATCGTTTTACTGCCTTCAAACAAAAATGTCTTATCTTCTGGTTCAGAGGAGTCATTGATCTTGGTTCTGTAGATAAAAGCCTTCTCGATCGCAGCGCTGCCATTCTTGATAATCTACCATAAAAGCTTTATTGACACTAGTTGTTGCTTACACAAAAAACTCTATTAAATTTGGCACCTGGGAATCATTTATCAATTGCTGAAGTGAAATAATTTAAAAGCCTTCGTTAAGTTCTTCTGCGAATCACTGCAGGAATAACAAGAAACTGTACTGCTTTGAAATCATTTAAATTACTTAGATGAACACGATGAATGATATGTCATTTTACCGCGACAAGTTCCACCCGTTATAATGCGATACTCTTCTATCCCTCATATTAAAGAGTGAGCGAATAATTTCATTAGTGTAAATCCATCTAGCATGAAGAATTTGATAAAGATTTCCTGTTTCCTATACTGTATGTGTCACAGGTTAAGTAGTTCATTCAGAACATGTATTGGTTGGAATTTCCACAACCCAGAGTCAGAAGTCAATGACCAACAAATGGAATTGCATGGCAGGTCAAAAAGGCTGGAGGCGTATTAATTTGAGGTAAAGACTTGTTATGAA